GGGGAGATGGAGGCATATTTTTGAGCCCTTTTTCAACTCTCTGCCTCAAAGAGAATAGGAAAGGGTCCCCTTTTCTGCAAGTTGGCTGGACTGACCCAGACCTCTGCCACTCACCTTGAAGGGTTCCTAGTCACACTAGTCACAGGAGGTGAGCAGCTTCCCACCTCTCAGATGGCCACACCTGACTACATCTCTGCCTATAAAACCAGAACAGTCAGCACCTCCCTCCCCTGGGACTCCAGCAGGCTTCATCAGCAGCCAGTGACAATAAAAATGTTTGTTATTTATAATACCCAATAGCATGCCAAGTCTGTGAGGACAGAGCCCAAGAGCACAGGGACTGTTTTTAAAGTGTGATATAGTTGAGGGTGAAAAACTCCATGGTGACCTTCTTAGAAAAACCAGAGTAAGAGGCAGACAGAACGACCAGAGGCCGTGAGCCTGTCCACCCCCACCAGCGTCTTTCCCTCCCCATGGCTCTCCTTACCCCTGCTCGTTCTCTGCATGCTGAAACTCTCAAGTTCTGTCCTGGGCCCTCTTTTCTCCCCTGCGGAGACCTCATCCCCTCTCATGGCTTCCTTGACATCTCAACTCCCTGAAGCTGGTCAACACTCTATCCAGAGCCACCACCTTCTGCTATACATGTGGAAATCCACTTGCTTAGTGGACAAAATCACCTGGACTTGTTACAGGCACCTGTTTATAACAGACCCAGGCCAAGCACCGTGGTACACACCTGTAATCTCCACTATGGTGCACACCTGTAATCCCAAGTACTGAGGCAGGAGGAGGCTGAGGCAGGAGGATCTCAAGTTCAAGGCTAGTCTGGGCAACTCAGAGAAACCCTGCCTCAAAGAAAAAACAGAAAAGGCTTGGATGTGGCTGGGTGGTCAAGTGCTTGCCTGGCATGTGTGAGGAACTGGGTTCAATCCCCACTCCATCCCATGCCTGCTCCTTCACCAGGACTCCCCACGCATCTGTAATCCTCTTCATCCTTCCCGCCGCATAAGCAGGATCTCCAGGATATAGCCATCTTTTAAATTAATGGGTCTCCAGAATATATTATATATTGTTAAATTAAAAAAGGAAGGAATAAAACTATGTTTAAGGGTAGGCTATCTTTCATAAATCAAAGAAGGGAATATGAATACACATGTATATATACAACACACACATATATATGCATTTGTTTGTATTAAGAGACAACCACTACATCAAAATAATAAAGACATATCACAGTAATAAAACTGGTTCCCTACAGGGGGAGAAGGGAATAGGGTGGAAGATAATGAGATTAAAAGAAACTTCTGTGAATAAATCTTATTATATAATTTGACTTCTGGTAATGTATATAAATGTCTTATATAATTTTAAAAGAAAATAAATAAAAAAGGAAAAAAATCCCTGGAAATTAAAAACAACGAAGCAAACTAACCTTACTGTATGACATTATGGAGAATACACCTACACAGAGAAGACTTCTTTTTTTTTTTGTAAAAGCAAATAGAGCCCAGGGTCTCACATATGGTGCTAGCTAAGCAAGCGCTCTACCACTCAGCTATACCCCAGCCCCCACCATACAAAGAAAACATTACTAAACATAATATTGTATAGCACCCCCTCCCTCGGGGACATATTGTAAGGTCAAAAAGAACCACAAAGAAACTTTAAATTTCATTCTCAGTCTGTGGTTTTTTTTTTAATATTTATTTATTTAGTTAGTTTTAGGTAGACACAGTGTCTTTATTTTATCTTTATGTGGTATTGAGGATCAAACCCAGTGCCCTGCACATGCCAGGAGAGTGCGCTACCACTTGAGCCACATCCCCAACCCAGTCTTACTGTTAAAAAGTGAAAAAAAATTAAAAACTATAATCAGTATGTTGTAAGTATGCAAAACAGAGTTAATATTAAAAAAAAAAAAAAACCTGCTTTCCTTAGAAAGTCCTCCTTGCAAGGGTGACCCTTGGCTGGCATCTAGGAACATGAATTTGGATGGTTCCCACAATTCCCAGAACTGATAAGAGTGGCTCACTATGATTAAGCCATTTGAGTAAATGATATGGTTTATGTTGAACACCTGCCTTCTTTCTAGAAGTATGGAATTTGGATTCAGGGTAGGTACACAGTGCTTATGTGATCAGCCCCCAATAAGAACCTGGGCACAGTCCATAATGAGCTCCCCTGCTAGATAACACTTCATATGATTTGTCACATCCCGTGTGACTCCAAGGGACAGCACTCTTGTGCCTATTTTTCTCCAGTCCTCACTGCATGTACCTTTTCCCCTGGCTGATTTTGCTTTGTATCCTTTCAACTGTGGTAAATCAGAGTTGTGAGTCCTTCTAGTGAACCACTGAGCCTGGAGTGCTCTTGGGAACCCTAATATAGCAGAATACAGCACATAAGTCATTCTGTTAATGTTACCAGGAAACGAGATTCCAGCATAAGACTAAAAGATACAAGATACTAAGGGCTGGGGTTGTGGCTCAGCAGTAGAGCGCTCACCTTGCACATGCAGGACCCTGGGTTCAATCCTCAGCACCACATAAAAAATAAATTAGTAAATGAAGGTATTGTGTCCAACTACAATGAAAAAAAAGGATACAAGATACTAGTATAAGATCATATTAAAAAAAAACTATGATCTTAAACATGAATTGAAACTAACTATAAATTCACAATTCTTTTTCTTAAAAAATTATTAAAGATGAATGCAGAGGCACATTGTATTCTCAGCTTGAGATTAAGAGGATTACAAATTTGAGGCCAGATTCAGCAACTTAGTGAGATCTTGTCTCAAAATAAAAAATAAAAAGTCCAGGAGTCATGGTGCACGCCTGTAATCCCAACAGCTCCAAAGGCTGAGGCAGGAGGATTGCAAGTTTGAGGCCAGCCCCAGCAATTTAGTGAGGTCCTTAGCAACTTTGTGAGACCGTGTCTGAAAATAATAATAATAATAATAATAAAAGAGCTGGGGATATAATTCAGCACCCACTGGGTTCAATCCTCAATACCAGAAAGAAAAAAGAAAAAGGACTGGGGCAGTAACTCAGTGGTTTGGCACCCCTAGGTTCAATCCCCAGCACTACAAAAAAAAGAAAAAAAAAAAGAAAGTTTGAAATTATTGGTCTACACTGGAAGATGATTGAGCTAAAAATCACTACTCTAAAGGGAAAGGACCAAGCATTTATACTGCTTTTCAGTATGAGAAAAATTTCAGAATATCCACATAGGTGATAAGGAAAAGGTCCTCACTAAAGAATTCTAGCTAATAAATGCAGAGGGAAATAATGGACCTAAGCAATGATCATGAATGGATGCTAAAGTCATCTTGGTCAAAGAGTGATGAGAGCTTTTATAATAGAAGAATCAGGTGACAACAAATGAACTGGCTAGAACCTATAAATAGATGTGTGGCAGCCAGACGCCACGTGCCTATTGATGTGCAACACCAAGTACAGAGCGCTGGCCATAGGGTGTTCGCAATAAATAACCTAATCTGAATGGACTCAGGCCTCAGGATGGAACTTCCTGTGGGCGGGACATATGGGAACAGAGAAACATGTTATAGGACCCCACAGAGGCAATTGGCCAAATTCTGGGATGTAGAAATCCTAGGTGACAAAGATTTCCTTTCTCCAACAAATCAATGTCAGGGGAAATGTGGTGGGCAATAACAGTGGGTGGAGAAGGGTGTTACAGTTTTAGAATAAAGACATTTACAGACTAAGAATCAAAACAGCAAAAAAAGCCAATCATTCTGATGGTATCCTTCTCTTATTTAAATCCTCCAGGCCTTGGCAGCACGGCTCACAATGTCTCCTCTGTGCTCTGACAGTCACCTTCATTCAGTTCCTTGAACTAACCTGTTCCGTTACCCCTCAGGTCCCTTTCCTTGGCAGGTCCCTCTCCATGGAATATTACCCTCACCCCTTCCCCACTTTAACTGATAGAAGCCTGCTCATTCATTTCCTTTCTTAAATACTATCTTCTTAGCAGGGGGAAGAGCCCAGCTCTTACCTCAAGGTATGTCAGTGCAACCCCCACCCACTACACACATTCACTATGTTCTGTATTCCTTTTGGTACTAGAGATTTAACCCAGGAATACTTTACCATTGAGCTACATCCCCAGCCCTTTTTGTTTTTTAATTTGAGACAGGGTCTAAGTTGCTTAGGGCCTTGCTAAATTGCCAGGGCTGGCTTTGAACTTGCAATCTTCGTGTCTCAGCATCCCAAGCTGCTGAGGTTATAGACATGCACCACCACACCTGGTGCAAATTCATTTTTAAAAAATATTTTATGTATATTTTTTAGTTGTAGATGAACACACAGTATCTTTATTTATTTTTATGTGGTACTGAGGATCAAACTCAATGCCTCACGCTTGATTGTGATGACATCCATGTTAGTACTCAGAACCCAGACTGGCATTAAAGAGCTCAGGCTCACAGGGAAGGACTTACCACCTCGTGGGACTTGGGAATGGGTACGATGATGGCCAACACACAGATGAGCTGGAAGATGGCCCCCAGGAAGAGTCCGTACCGTAGAAGGTTCTCCAGGAAGGTAGGCTCAGGCACCTCAGGAGGTGAGAAGTCTAGGTCGGAGGCCATGGCCCAAGCCACCTGCTGCTTGAGGTCTCTGACTCACCACTCTTTACAGCCAATTTCTAAATGCAAAGGGTAAGTAAGCATCATGTTTCTAAAACGTTTTTTTTTCCTGGGTGGGGGGGCAGTATTCATGGTGGTGGAGATCAAAACCAGGGCCTTCTGAATACCAGGCCAGCGCTCTACACTGAGCCACATCCTCAGTTCCCTCTACTACTGATTTTTAAATGATCCTGCTTGCATAAACACACATACATTCAAGACTATATAAAGCAATTGTAGTGAAATGTTAACAGTTCTTGGATCCAATTAGAGAATAATTAGAATAAAAACATTTACAGAATAAGAATTAAAATTTTTAAAAAAAGCCAATCATTCACAGTGAGCCATTCTTCCAACTTTTTCATAGTTTTCCAAATATAAAGTTAAGAAAAATAAATAAGTAAATGCAAAGGGAAATACTTCCAACAAAAATCTCAAATCACATCTGTAATC